AGGACCTGGGCTCCCCATCTTCTAACTCTGCTTTCCTCTGTGTTGGCTTCGTTCTCAGGCAGACGCTCCCCTGTGGTGGTAAGATGGCGCCCACCAACTCATCTTCAGATCCCATGAATCCCAGGAGACATCCTGAGGGCAACTCTTATTGGACTAGTTTTGGATCACATGCCAATCCCATAGCAACCAATCAGGTTGGTGTAGGCATATGGTGCTGTGATTGGCCATGCAACACTTGGGCCACCCATGGCACTAGGGGCAAAGTGGGGGTTCTCCATGGGAAAATTAACATGCCATTTCCAGAAGTAGTGGGGATAGAACTGAGAGGGCAGATAACATGGCAAGGGAGCAGAGGACAGAGAATGGTATCAGGACCCAGCCAAGCAGGGCTGTCACCAAAGCTCTGAGGACACTCAGTGGGATCTGGAAGACCACCAGTGAGGCTGGCCCAAGTCTCACATTGGACCCCAGCCCCAGGTGCCCCCACGAGCTGATAGGGCTCGGACAGTTAACATTCGGGTCCCTAATGTGGGCTGCCTCAGGGTCTGGGTGAGCCTGCATCTTAGAGGGATCAATGCCCACTGCCAAGAAGAGCCTAGAGAAGGCGGGATGCTGGGGTTTCAGGGTTCTAAGCCCAGAAGGGCAGGAGGGCACATCCCAGGCACCCAAAGTGTAGTGTCAGAAGGGCATGGATTTCGCTCTCCTTGCCAGGGACTGCCTGCCTTAGGCATGGGCATGGGCATGTGTCCCCGTTCTAGCCCATGACAGGGGCGGGGAGTTGGAGGAAGGAAAGGCCTGGGCTTCTGGACAATATTTTCCTTACTCATTGATAATTTAAATTTTAAAAAATCCCATTTGAAGAAAGAGTCCAGTTTCCACCTTTGGACTGCTTTGAGTCTGGGTGGCATGCAGGACTGGAGCGGACAGCCAGGCTGCAGCCACGCGGAGCAGCTGAAGGTGGCCAGGGAGCCAAGGAGCCAGGGCCTCTCGTGGTGGTGGCGTCACCTCAGGAAAGCCCATCAGGTAATGCAGTCCCCGTACTCGCTTTTGCAGCGGGTTAAGCAGCGTTTCTGTTGTCCGGAGCTGAAAGCAGCCTCCTTGACACCAGGAGTCAGAGCTGGGATCAGCGTGAACTACGAGTGACAGGGGAACCGGACCGGCTGCTCCAGCTTCCCACTGGCCCTGAGCCAGCCCTGTGGCTTGTCTTACTGAAGACACATCGGTCAGTTTCTGCTGCAAAAAAACTGCTTTTTCCTTCACTTCTAGGTCATGAAGGGAAAACTGTTTCCTAAATAACTTTCTTACCCTGGTTTAAATAAGCCTCCCACAAAATGGCCAGAGACTGACGTTTCCTTTCTACACAGTCAAAAAAGAAAGCTCCCCACCCGACTGTCCATCAATAGAGGGTAATTAAGTTCATTCAACTACAGCCATTTGATAGCTGTGTGCGCAGCCGCTAAATTGATGCTGACAGATGATGCTTAAAGACACTGGAGATGCTTTGTATGTTACTATTAAATGAAAGAAAAAAACACAGGTTACTAAACTCTATGTATGCAGTATGATCATATGTATATTTTTTAATATGCACACACATAAAATAAGACTGAAAGGAAACACCACAGTGTTTGGGTGGTGGAATTTGGGGTAATATTTATTGCCAACTTTATACTTCTGCTTATTTTTCAAGTTTTTTACAATAAGCATATATTATGATTGTAACCTGAGAACTAGGGTGAAGACCCCGAGGACACATTTGGCAATCCTGGGGGAGACACTTCGAGGGAGAGGACAGGAAAATCTTTCATGTTTCCATCAAGATCCAGGGCTCCAGCACCCACAGATGCCACATTGGGCCAGAGTGAGCGTCTGGGTGTTTCTGGCAAGTGCAGAAGGAAAAGTCAGAAGCACAAGATTCTGGGGTGCAGGAACCTTTCAGGGTGTGCAACAGCCTCCTCCTCTCCCTCTGCCTCTATCAAGTCTACCTCCCGCCAGATCTCTGCGGTTCTCTCACTCAGACCGAGCAGCAGCAAAGCCCCCGTAAAAGATCTGGTGTCAAAGCCGACCTCGCACAGGCCGATTCCTTGGGAGTCCCTCATACTCAGGGAGTTTGGCACGTGGGAGGTTAATTCTCTTATCAAAACTGTACAAAATCCTAATTTTGCAGAGTGGCAATTTGGGGGGAAAAGAAAACCCAGCAATGGGAAAATGTTGGTTATGCAGCACTCGACATTCAGTTCTCAGGGGATCAATTATAAAAACACTCATTCAGCTATTTCTATTCAAATGAACACCTGAAGAGGAGGCCTCAATGGTTTTAAAAGTGTGTGGATATTACTGGATAAATGTTAGTCCAATAAAAGAGATCATCATCCGCTATTTGTGTACATTTAAGTTGACACTAAAAAGATCTTTGTGGAGTATCGCTGCGGCTGCTTCTTTTTCTGCATGCATCTTTTTATCTCCTATTCCCTTAACACTTTAGCAACTGAAGAAAACAGACCAAATGTGGCTGGTCATGGTTTTCTTCTTCTTCTCCTTCTTCCCCCAAGATGAAAGGGACACGGGTGTTGGGAAGGCCACACCTGAAGTGGGCAGCCGGGTTGCTCACACTTATGAATATGTAATGTCCTGCTTGGAGGCGCAGTCACGAACTCCTAATAAGAATTCACGAGTCTGTGTTTGAAAACAGACATTTGCATTTGCCCTGTGGTCATAGTACATGGACCATTCTTATTCAAAAATTTATTTTTTTTCCTTCTTCTTTTTAAGGCCTGGAAATATTCTATGCCCTCTCTCCCCACCAACACACACACACACACACACACACACACACACACACACACACACACTTCTTTCTACGTTCTCTTTAAATGGAAATTAAGATACGGAAGCCCAGAAAGCCCAGCAGCCCCCTCTCCTGCAGCCACTGGGCCTGGGGCAGGCACTGCAGCTCCCAGAGAGATGGAGAACCGTCCAAACCTGCTTCAAGCAGATACTAGTTTTCTCTCAAGTCCAAGAGCTTTCTTGGTCCAGAATGAAATGCAGAATTTTTTAAAAGGGGAGTAAAACAACATGGGGAGACTATGTTGAGGCTCAACAAGCCTGCTAAAGCGAAGCCAGGGTATAATCTACTTGGCAGCTGTAGGAACCTGCCTGGCCCGGGGCTGGGACACTGTGCCCCGAGTTCCCGGCGGCAATTTGGTGGTGGCAGGCATTTCCTGGTCAGTGGCTGTGGTTTATGCAGTTAAATTTCCTGCAAAAATAGCACCCCACCAGTCCTTTTTATAAACACTTTGAAAAGGGGGCCTTTTTTGTCTGTGACTCCTGAACCTCTAAGTCATTATTAATGTCTAGAGGGCAAGGGTGCCACCATTTGAGGTACAAGGAACAGAGCATCAACACCCCATGTTTATTTGGGTCTCTCCTCCTCTGCAGCTTCCTCAATAAAGCACAAAGCTCTTGGCCTCTTCTACCCAGGGGTCCCCGCCCTCCCTCAGTCCTCACAGGCCCCCCAGGCCGGCCACACTGACTGCATGGACGTGGCCACACTCAGCCTCCCTGCACTCCTCCTTCCTGAGGGGTTGGCCAAGGTTAAATGCTGATCCCACAAATGTCCGGGTTTTGAGCATTCCTTCTAATTACAGGTGTTCAGAGAGCCATTTGCGTGCCTTGTGAAAACGGTGCTTTCTTGGGGGCCAGGCTATGGTCAGTTAGTATCGTCTTTACTTTAGCTACGGGTGGGCAATGTCCACACAGCCAGGGAGGCACAGTGTAAGACGAGGGAGTGCTGTGCCCGTTCCAGGGCTCCCTCAGCCGGCCAAGCTGCTAGCCAGGAAGATTCCTTTGCGGCTGCCCAGGGGCCGGCCCAACCAAGCCCCCATTTCAGGGCTAACAGTGACACCTGCAGTTTAACCTGCCACATGTCACTCTGTGGGACAACTGCCCTGGGAGGGGGCTGAGGGACCTTGGGCCACTCGGCCACCACTGCCCTTGCCAGGGGTCCCCAGGGAGAGGGCTGAGGAGACTGAGTTCTCTGGGTGTGGTGTAGGAGCCAGACAGAGGGCAGATCCACCTGCTGTTCTGGGAGGAGGCCACAAGGCAACAGTTTCTAGCCCTGAGACTCCAGAACCCAACACCTGTGCCACAGGCGTTGCTCTCCCCACTCAGCCACCAACCTAAGAAAGCCAAGGCCATGGGAACTTGCTGGGTGGGGAGGCAGCAGGGACCAGAGAACACCAGTTGCCACAGGAGCAGCATCTAAACAGGTTTTACTGAGAGCCAGCTCTGTGCGGCACTTTCTCACCTTCCCCCTGCTCCTCTCAGCAAGGCGTGACCACCTGACCCAGTGCCCTCGCTTTACAGCCCGGAAGACTGAGGACCACAGAGGGCAGGTGGCTTAGTCAAGGTCATCTAGGGGGATAGTACCTAAGTCTGGTCTCCCACCTCTGCCTACCTGCAGGACAGTGCTCAGGACTGCCATGGCGACATGCTCAGGACTTGATCAGGCGACATGCCCTTCCTGGCGTGGTCACCATGGGAAAATGCATGCACAGCTCTCCGTAGACCATCTCCTCAACACCACCACCCACCCTCCCCCAAACACACTCACGTGCTTGCACACAGGCATGCACGCTGAGAAAAGACAGTAGGTCCAATATGAATTATCTGAGTCCAGCCCCAGCTCCCAAGGCATGGCCCCAACAGCCGCGGCTCCATTTCCTCCCCTGCACTCGCTCACAGAAATCTGAGAGCCAGGACACAGGGAGTTGGGAATGAAAATGAACCGATGCAAAGATTTCTTTATAACTTTTCTCAATATTCTGCTGATTGCTAGCTCAGTAGCAGATGTGGTGTGCTTAATGATGCATAGACAAGAAGCAGCCCCTGATCCCTAAATGAACTTCTTATCTCTAAATATATACAGGGAAGGCTATATAAACTCAATTTAGCCCCTCTGCTCTTCCAGCTACCCTGATCGAGGAGTGGAAGGAGAGAGTGGGTGCCTGGAAGACCTGGCAGGGGCAGACAGAGGGCAGGGAAGAGAAGGTGGGGAGGCTTCTGTGGCGTCCGGCCATTGTGCTCACAGCTCCCCAGTGACTGAGCTGGCCACACAGACAGGCAGCCCACCTTCCTATTTCCCAGGGTGAGGGGGTGGTTTGAGGGGGTTCCTCCTGAGAAAACCTTCAGTGGCAGAAGCAGCAATAGCAACAAAAACCTTCACCAGCAAAACCTCTATTTAGCCATTTCCATTAAACATGCCGCATCTGTATGTAGCAAGACTCAGCAAGTGCTTAGAACTCAAGTTCTCGGTAAAGGGGTTAAAAGCACATTGGCCCTAAGCGTTCCTCGCTTGGTGGCATCCACTGTGTGCAGGTGCTAGGCCAGAGTCCCAGGGAGGACCCAGGGTCCAGCAGGGACAGATGTGAGTTCCAAGTGCAGGTGTGTGCCAGAGGCAGACACACTGGGCTGCAGGAACACAGAGGGGAGCCCTGGATCCTTCTCTCTGCACCTCCCACCCCCAGGAATGCCCAAAGGGCAGAAGAAACAGCAGGTGTGAAGGCTTAGCAGGCAGGAGAACACCAGGCCTGCTCAGGAGCTGCGGTAAGTCTGGACACGGGATGATGGGTGTAACAGAGAGCCCAGGGGCAGGGGAAGCAGGACCTCCGACACCATGTAAGGAGCTTGACCTTTATCCTGCAGGAGGTGAAGGGGATGCTCGGCCTAGTTCTAGGTCGCTGCTGATACATAAAAGCTGCCGCCGCCATGCTGAGTGGATGGGCAGGAGGGTGGGGGTCGGGTTCAACACTCAAGTCCCAGAGTTCCCAAGAGGCCAGCCCAGGGCCTGGCCAAGTCACTTCAAATAGCTGTTTAGCCCAGATGGCCTGTTAATCTTGAAGGAAACCCAAAGAAGCACAGAGACACAGTTGAAATGGGAGTAAGAGCACCCAATGCCCATCCACAGCCAAAGGAAAGCTTATGCATATGCAACATGGGCCCACTCTGTAGGCTTTTCCATTAGCCGCGTGGAGACGCCGTGACCAGGTTGGGGGAATCTATATTTCACCTTACGTTGCACACAGCTGGGCTCAGACTGGCACCAGTGTCAATATGCAAACGAGGCAGTATCTGTATTCATCAGGGCTCTGAGAAGCCAGGATCCTTCTCTTCCAGAGCAGCAAACAAAGAAAGGTGGGTGGGGCATGCCAGAGGGGGCGTGGCTGGTAGGCAAAGACCAGGCAGGAAAGAGGCCACTGGAATGGGAGGAGAGACCAAATTATGTCACATCAGTTTTGGGGGGTGGGGAACATTCTCAAAGAGGAGACTTAGAACCCAAAGGGTTTTGGAGCCAGAAGTTCCTCCTCCGCCTAATGGTCTCATTTAATTGATGAAAAAACTGAGACCTAGAGAGGAGAAATAATTTGCTGAGAGACAAACACCTAATGGTAGTTTTTTGTTCATATGCGAATACAGCTGTGTTTAAATTTAATTTTTGTTTATATAGGTAAAGAAAGATCAAGGAGCTCCTTAGAAGGTCAGTCCTATCAAGACCATATGAGCACCGTGTGGAGAAAAAGAGAGGCCATGGTCCTTGCCTTCGACATGTAATAAGAACTCAAAGAATGGGGCACCGTGCGTTCAAGGAGGTCATGAAGTGAACGTGCCACCCGCCAGGTGTGGGCTGGGGAACTGGGTGCAGTTGGTGTTATCTCAGAGGTCCCCGGGCGGGTGGAGGAGCTCAGAGTCACACCCCACCCTGCGCTTTCCTTTCGGCTCCGCTCTGAGCCCCAGTCCTGGCTCCCCTCTCCAAACCCCCTCCCTTTGGGTTTTCTGGGAGAAATGGGCAAAACCTCACCAGTCTGTAGAGATGGATACAGTTTCTCTAGCTGGACACAGCTCCAGTGGTTCTAAGTGTGCATCTCTTAAAAAGTCAACTGAGGCCAAAAAGCTCTCCTGTGCCCATCCCCTCACAACAATTAGCAAATCATCAGCACAGCACTTGTCTATACTAGACATACAACCTATAAGCTAGACACCTCTTAAGCGAACTTGTTTCCTCATCTGTGAAATACGGTTTATGAGGCCTGTTTTCTGTGAGGAGTAAAAAGGATCAGGTATGTGATGACATTTAGTGTCATACCTGGTATACCTGAAGCTAGCTGAAGTTACAGGCCTCTAGGATAATCTGCTGTGAGCTGTGAAAAGAGGCACATAAGTCAAGTGTTAACCACAAATGACACAGGAGACAGCCGTGAAGACCTTTGCTGTGCACCTAGAGGACAGGGCGTGACCTTGGTGCATGGGCTGTGTGACATTTCTTCCCAGAGCCTACAAGCCTTTTCTACTTACTGCTCAGTTCAGATTCAGGGCTGGGTTCCAGAGGGATGCAGGAACTGCAAGCCAGGCTTCCAGATAAACAAGCTTTCGTGTGTAGCACGGAGTGTCTGTCCTCCTTCCTGAGTCTTCCCTTCACCCTTTTTAATGCCAACTCCATTTGTGATGATCACAGAAATTACTCTAAAGTCAGCCTGTGCTCCTCGGAAGGACAAACTGTTAAAGCTGAATGTAAATTTGGCATTGCTCTCCCTTGAATGCTCTTGGCATCCGTTTAAAGAAATGAGAATTAGGGCAGTTATCGCATATTCATTTTTATAAAAACGAATTACAGACCAAGACCGGTTTCTTGAAATCCCGTAAGTTACAGGTTAATTTCCTTCACCAGCACTGGTCCAGTCCTATGCTACACTGGCTTTGGCCACACTCACAAACTTGTTTAGCCTCAGTCACTTTATTCTGCAAAACCTGCCATAGCCACAGAGGTGGTGGACTGGAAGACTTAGGGTAACCAGCCATGAGTCTTAATCCAAGAAAAGGCTTTGACAGTGGCCCCTGAGATCTGAGAGGACTGTCCAGTTACTAATGCATCCCCATTAGCTGGGCTCCCTATGATGGTTTATTCAGCAAATGACGGTAAGGATTGACATGTCAGGCCACGTGTGGTGGTTCACGCCTATAACCCCAGCACTGGGAGGCAGAGGCAGAAGGATCACTTGGTCCCAGGAGTTTGAGACCAGCTTGGGTAACAAAGAGAGACCCTGTCTCTACAAAAGAAAAAACTTAAAATTAGCTGGGCCTGTGGTGCCATGCACCGTGGTGCCAGCTACTCTGGAGGCTGAGGCAGGAGGATCACTTGAGCCCGGGAGGGCAAGGCTGCAGTGAGCCGTCATTGTGCCACTACACTCCAGCCTGGGTGCCAGAGCAAGACCCTGTCTCAAAAATAAAAAAGAATTCTCATGTCAGAGCCCCTTTCCTGCAAAGTGGGAGAGAGCACAGGCAGACACAGCTCCTGCCTCGAGGGGCTCCCTTAGTGTTCAAGCTACGATACCCGAGAGTCCTCTCTTTAGGGTCTGTCTGCCTAAGAACAGTCAGAGGGTTTGAATCTTGGCTCCACTGCTTCCCAGCTGGTGGCCACTGACTCTCTCTGAATTCTTAGGTTCCAGGTAACAAAACCAGTCCTGCAGGGCTGTTTTGGGTACTAGATGAGAGGTGTGCATAGTACACAGTCAGGTGCCTCTCTTCTCTGTCCCATCACCCTTAAACATTCCCATCATTGCGATTGGCACCATGGGTCCTTGGACAAGTATTTCTCGGTGCCTCAGTTTCATCATCTGGAAAATGGGAACTGTAATATGTGTTTCAAAGGATTGTTGGGGGGATTCAATGAGACAGTCCATGTAAGGCATTTAGCACAATCTTTAGACCATGTGAAGTCTTAATACACACGAGCTCATATTCCGCTGGTACACGGGGAGCTCCTCAGGAAGAACTTGGTCAAGTCCCTCATTCACTGAGCTTTCCACAGACACTGACAAGCAGTTACACATCATGCACTGTGGCTACAGGCATGCATCAAGACACGGCCTCGGCCGGGCGCGGTGGCTCAAGCCTGTAATCCCAGCACTTTGGGAGGCCGAGGCGGGTGGATCACGAGGTCAGGAGATCGAGACCATCCTGGCTAACATGATGAAACCCCGTCTCTACTAAAAATACAAAAAACTAGCCGGACGTGGTGGCGGGCGCCTGTAGTCCCAGCTACTCGGAGGCTGAGGCGGGAGAATGGCGTGAACCCGGGAGGTGGAGCTTGCAGTGAGCCGATATCGTGCCACTGCACTCCAGCCTGGGCGACAGAGCGAGACTCCGTCTCAAAAAAAAAAAAAAAAAAAAAAAGACACGGCCTCAGCTTTGCAAGAGCTGGTCCTACCTAGGGCAATACTGCAATATGGTAAGTGCTGAGAGATTTAGCTACAGGGTGCTTTGGGAGTGGAGATCTAACCCAGCCTGAGGGATCGGAAGACTTCTCAGAGATGATGATACCTAAGGTATATCCCATGGGATGATGAGTACAACAGGGGGTGAGCAGTGAGGTGCAGGGGCAAGAACTTCCACGCACACAGAAGAGCATGTCGTGGCAAGTGGGAGAGCGGACAGGCTTCGGCTAACTCGTTGACACACCCAGAACTCATGCCAGGCACTTAGGGCTCAGGAGGTGTTGCTGAATGAATAAACAAGCTTGCTGTACATGGCTCACATCTTCCCTTCCTACCTGCTGCTCCAGGTTCCAGGGAAGAGATGCCCGCTCCCTCTGGCGCCTAACCCAAAGCATAGCCAGGAAGAAGAGGGCAGCCTGTGGAGAAGTGCATCACTGGACATGCCAGGTCAGGATGCCATGGGAAAGCACTCCAACCCCCGGAGGACTGCCCATGCCCCCAGGTGCCCAGAATCCCAGATTCTCAGTGAGAGGGACAGGCTGGGGCCCCAAGTGCTGCTGCAAGTGGACTCAAGTGGTTTAAGTTCAGAAACCAAGATGCTAGGCACAGTTGTCCAGGGGTGGGGAAGAAGCACCCTCCCCTGCCATGTGGTGTTTCTTGACGACGCAGGGGCCAGGTGTGTGAGCCTCACCTCGGGCTGCATTCCCATTACATCTTCCTAGCAAAGTTTCCAAAGCTTTGTCCTCATTTCTCCTCTTCCCACCCAGGTGCACCCCTCTTGAAATTCCCCTCCTGAGAGGTTTGTTGTTCACTGCTGTACCCTCCCCTTCATACTTCTTGAAGGCTGTCATTAGAACCACCAGACAGGCAGCGTCAGGAGAACAGGCACCTCCCCAGATGCCTGTTGGGTTGTCTTCTCCAGTCTTGCACTTGGGCTACAAGTTGCCAAACACCTTGGGATAGGGCCCTTCGGTCAAATAATGGTCAGTGCAAATGTCTCTCTTTGCCTCCACATTTTGGGGGCACTGAAAGGAATCCCTGCCTTGATTTCTTTCCAGTGGGTGGTAGAGACTGGAGGGCAGTCAACAGCATGCCAGAAACAGAATGAGGAGCAGTGCCTGGGCCAGAAGTTGGCGGTGGGCTGCAAGGTGTGGTGAGGACTAATGGGGCAAGGGGTTGACTGCATTTATCAATGAAGGTATGAAAGACTTAATTAAATAACGACTCATAAATATTCAGCTCAGCCAAGCTGAGCCCCACAATGATGGATGTCAGGGACTAAAAGGCTTTCAAGGGGAGGACTCTGCAGAGATGTGGGCCCCCAAACGTGTCAGAACGGAAAGGGTACACTGCCCACAGCTTCCGCTGGCTCATGACACATCATTCCCTCGTACCCATCCTGCAAGCCAAATGCACTTTAAGGCAAGCGGTCTGGCTCCCTGAGGAAGAGACTTCTCCATCAGGACCCTGGAATTTGTAGCTCAGTGATCCCCTTTATCCATGGTTCCGCTTTCTGTGGTTTCAGTTACCTGCGCCCAACCAGTCTGAAAATGCTAAATGGAAAATGCCAGAAATAAACAATTTCTAAGTTGTAAATTGTGCAGCCCTCTGGGTAGTGTGAAATCTGGCACTGTCCACTCCCTCCTATTTGGGATGTAAACGTTTGTTTTATCCAGCATGAAGCTGGATCTGGAAGGAAGGGAGGTGCGGCAACCGTGAGACGGTACAAGTCTCCAATATGGGGATATGGGACCAGGTACAAGCACGAGTGACCAGGGTCTTTGTGTGTGTGCTCCTTATTCTCCTTTACTTAGCTTCTACCACCACTAAGAACCTGGACCACATCTTAATCATGTTGAGCTGCTTTGAGCCTCAAGATCTTTCTCAATAGGGCAGTAACATCTAACCTACTGCTCCCCACCCACCCCACCCAGTCACACACTAGCTTTGCTGGCTGCTTTGTTCTCTGACCTTGACATGCTCTCATACCCCATGCCCTAGTGCAAGCCCTTTGCTCCGCTTAGCAGGCTGTCTCCTCTGCTGTTTCCGGATCACAACCAAATTACCCATCAAATGGCACCTGCTCTCCCACACCCTCCCCAAGGCCACCAGGAAGCTGCATGCTCCCTCAGCACTTCTGGACCTTATTATACTACTGTGATACATCTGGGCATTTACATCTCTCCCAACCCCACTGAGCTCTAAAACTCCAGCACTTTCCTGTTCCTCTGCAGTTGCCAAGCTCCTTCTTCAGAAAAATGCTGCTCCCTCCCTCTGCGCCACCTTATTCTTCAGGTCAAAGCTTGTCCAGTTTGAAAGTGTGCTCCTAACCCTCCAGAAGCACTCTTATTTCCGTTCAGAGCCCACTAGTGACTTGCAGTTCATTTGTGTTGTCAGGCATCTGTATCCCCTGTGAACTATAAGCTTTCCTAAGCACAGGGGCTTACCAGTTTTGTTCCCCATGTATAACTAGGGCCTCTCCTTCACTGTTAAATGTGCCTCAAAATGGTAACAGCTTGGGCTTTAGAACCAGACAAGTTCAACTTATTACGGGCCTCACTGCTCTGTAACTACCCCCAGGCAGCTGTCATGGCAGCCGAGTGTGACGCCCACCACTCAGTGTGTGCCAAAGTGCCTAGAACACTGTGGACACTCAGGAAACCCCCGTTCCCTCTCCTTGCTTGCCTTCTTCTCGCCATAACAGCACCTGGTACATGATAGGGGATCAACGAACATCTGTTGAATGAACGAATCCTCACAGGAGGCAAAACCATGCCCATTAAACTACAAGAGTTTGGTTTTTTTCTAAGTTTCTGATAGGGGTATTCATTTAAAGCTAAAGTCGGTCATTGTTGTGAGCCTCCCTGATTAAACCCTCACCTGGCAAACCAGGGAGTCTTTCTCCACTATACAGCCTGCTTCCCTCTCCATACCCCTCCTACGTCCAGGCTCTCCCACATTTCTCCTCAGGCCTCAATCCAAGGGGTAGGTCCCCAGCTTGTGGAGACACACACAGGATTCAACAGCCATGACAATCTCCAGGGAAAATGCTTGATATAAAATTACTTACCTAGTATGACCTCATTTTTTTTTAAAGGTTTATGGGTGAAGTTTCTTCTTTATGCTTTTCTGTATTTTTTAAGTATTACAATGAGTATGTATTATGACTATAATTAGAAAAAAATCAACATTAACAAATTCAAGATAACATCAAATTTGCCTAAAACCAATTCACCTAATAATCAATTTGCCCAGTGACATATTCACCCACAATTCACATTTTAGACATTTACCACATTCACATTTTACATACAACATAATGAAGCCCTCCCCACAAAAAAAAATCATTTTTAGATGCCAATTTTTCTTTTTTTAAAAAATAAGTATTGTTTTCATCCAATTCCTCTAAAAGTACCTCTGCCTTTATTTTTAATAAAACTTTGTCTAGTGTAATTAATGCCTTCAGATATGATAGGTAAAGCACCTCCTCGACAGCCTCTAAGGCATCTCTGTTGAGGTTTCATTTACTCTAGTCTTGAGTACTTTTAAGGATTTTTAGCATTTCTTTTAGGAGGTCTTGTTTTAATTGGCTTAAAATGAAAAACATTTCAAGATGCAAAACTTCTCAAGGAGAAACCATCCCAACCAATATATAAAATTACTTAAACACCCAAATTTTAGTTAAAGCTGTTAAGTGACTTAGAGTGTGAACAGGTCAGTTCACCCCAAACTAGTCAGGACCCAAATCTTCCAGTACTAATAAATATAGTACACCAGTGTCATCAGAGCCCAGCTGTTCACTATCGTTCTTTGCAAATCTCTCCCCCTCCTCACCTCCAGCAGGCCAGCTTTAAGGGCATCCAAAGAGCAGAAATGTATTTTAGCTGTTCTGAAACTAGAGGCATATGCAAAATAGAGCTAATTACCCTTGCCTTCTCAACGATAATATCCAAAGAGATACTAAGGCAATGCTGTTGAATGGGAAAACACAGGGTCATATTTCAGGATTAAGTTTTAGAGTCAAACAGAACCAGGCTCAAATCCAATTTACTGGGTGACCCTGGGCAAGACACTCTGCCAAAATAAACCTGTTTCCTCATCTGTAAATGGTGACGCCAATGAATATGTGTCAAATCTTATAGGTTGCTATAACAATGGCCCTACCGTTTAACACCTAGTAGATATACTCAATAAAAGGCAGCTACTGTCAGGAATTTTTCCCAGACCCACTCACTGCACTTGAACCCTTGCCAGAAGCAGACAGGCACGCTGTCTCCTCAGAAGCGCGCACTGCATTTGTCTTGGCACTAAGGGAGAGAACGTTTTTTAATGAAAAGGTCAGTCTGCCCCAAACCCACATTAATTTTGTTTTGTTTTTAAACAGGGCTTTGCTTGACTCCACTTTTTTCTCCCTACTCTGGGCCTGCCCAAATTTCCTAGCAGGAAGACAGATTTGAGAATTAGCAGGGGTGGTTTGCCAGATGTTCCTTTGCAGTCTGCCTTTGTGACTGCCCTCTGACTAATTCAAACTAGGTTTAACCTAGTACTGGAAAAAAAAAGTCTGATTGCTTAAACATGTCCTACCTGCTTGCTAATCCACATAAAGCTCCAATAAGAAAGATCTAAAGAAAAACTTAACATTTTCCTCAGAAACTAGGGGAAGGTGTTAAATAGCTTACCCGCGGTCACCAGGCCTTGGAGGAGAGAAGGATCAGATTTGTCCTTCCTGAAGGCCAGGGCTTTTTCTTCCAACCACTGGACCAGGCTCCCTTCAGACATTAATCAAACATTGCACCACACTGGTGGTGGCTTCAGAAGCATAAGGTAGACCTCATGCAACTTGGAGTACAATTCAACTGAGAGGCCAAGGTCTGGCAATATTCAATTTGTACATCATAAAAAATTATTTAACAATATCCAAGTCCTAGATTGATTGTATAATTCAGCCAGGATGTAAAACAATGGAATTTCTCTCTCCAATTCAGCTGCATCCCCTTTTACTGCCTTGATCTTGTCTGACATCTTATTTTCTTATTTGCTCAGAAATTGTCTTTTCTTGAGGCCGGGCGCGGTGGCTCAAGCCTGTAATCCCAGCACTTTGGGAGGCCGAGACGGGCGGATCACGAGGTCAGGAGATCGAGACCATCCTGGCTGACACCGTGAAACCCCGTTTCTACTTTAAAAATACAAAAAACTAGCCGGGCGAGGTGGCGGCGCCTGTAGTCCCAGCTACTCGGGAGGCTGAGGCAGGAGAATGGCGTAAACCCGGGAGGCGGAGCTTGCAGTGAGCCAAGATCGCGCCACTGCACTCCAGCCTGGGCGGCAGAGCGAGACTCCGTCTCAAAAAAAAAAAAAAAAAAAAAAGAAATTGTCTTTTCTTTTCCTTCCTCCCACTCTTATCTGGGAACCTTCAATGGGTACTTAGGCTCACTCCAACTAGATATGCAAAATTTCAAGAAACTAGCTGGTGACAGTGTTAGGCTGAAATGCGTTATTTACAAACAAAATCCACAACCAGGATGACCTAGACACAAACTTTAATGGAATCTCAAGCATTCAACCTCTTTCCAGTGTTAGATTTCCTCAATTCTAACCTGGACCAAAATTCAAATAGCCATAGATCACTTGGCTATCCCAAGTGAGGAAGAATTGTTTGTTAGAACACTTAAGCCAATGAGTGCTGAAGGGTGAATGCTCAGAGAGCATCAGGACACAGCAGTATCAGCTGCAGTATGAGGCTCTTCATTTACTTACCTTTTATCCTCACAATCACCTTAAAAGGACATTGCTCATCTCTGCTGAAAAGGAATACGAGCTTCAAAAAAAAAAGAAAAATGCCGTAACTGCATGAGCTCAACAGCTAGTAAGTGCTGAAGTTAAGACCTGAATGCAGCTCTGCCTTGAAAAGAGGCATTCTTTCCGCTACACACAGAAAAGTTGTGTACTAAATGTTTTAATTCAGCTGATATGATAAAATGGCAGTCAAGATGAACTGCCTGATGGGCAACTTTGCTGAGTATTTCTAGCATGTGCCAAACCTGGCAGATGATGTATCCTATGGAATTTAATTCTTACAACCAGAAATTAGGCATCCGTACCACAATGCTAATGCCATCCCCCTTCCACTCAACAAAATGCCCACACAGACCTCTTATTTTCCATGCATCTTTATCACAATGCCAATGCCATTTCCCTTCCACTCAACAAAAGGCCTACAGAGACCACTTATTTTCCACGAGGCCCCAATCTTCTAGTTGGCCCCAACATCCGGTCATGCCTCAAACTCCCTGTATTCTCCCCCATGTTAAACCAATATGGCAGGTTTCAAGTGAAACACCACTCAAGTCAGAGCCTCAAGGTGCTTCAACTTCTAATCCTTCCTTCACGGAAGCTCCGATGCTTTGGATATTATGATCTTGAGTGGTGATCAAAATAAGATTACAAACAAGAATTTCCAAAGAACTCAGAATTAATGAAGTCATGCTAATTTATATGGTGCAGCCACTTACTAGCCATATTACTAATTAAAATACAAAAATGTAACAAAAAAAATTAACTTTCATTGGAATCTAAGTTCCTTGAAGTCAGCAACCAGG